GCAGAAACGATCGCTGCTGCTCAAATTGGTACAAGTGGTCTGATCAGATCAGTTGTACTACACGAGCGGCGGCGGCTCCACAATGTACATTCATCTCTGCTTGTCCGGAGCTGCGCTAAATGTACATAAAAACTACTCGGCCGGCGCCCGAAACTGCATGTCCCGAGCGTCGGGCGATAGGAATTCCACACCCCTGCAGTGTCCCAACTTTTTGGGAATTTGGGTTGTACAATTGTAAACTAAACCTCTTTTGGGTGTGCCTAAATTTTTAGGGCTTGTTCACACGATGTCCGGATTCTGTCCAGACCAGAACAATTCGCACTAAAAACGCATCCCTATGTGTTTTATGGGCTCCAGTTCTCACCAGCGCAGTCCGTTCTGGACAGAAAAAGTATTGTATGTCACATTTTCTCTGGTCCGGAACGCGCACAAACGTATCAAAACTGCAACGAAAGTGCTCAAATACGGAAACGCACCGCACTGCAGCTAACTGGAAAAAAAAAGTATTCTTGCTCCACTTTTGATGAAGGCTGGAAGTGACCTCAGAGCATAAATCTGCATACTCCCCCCCACCACCAAAAAAAAGAAACTGGAACGCGTCAAACGCGCTGCATGAATTACACAGCGTCTGCAGATCTGGACCAGAAAATGGTGTGAACAAGCCCTTTAAGGAGATTTATAAATCATCTGCTTAGCTATATGCTAGGAAAATGAACAGCATTCCTGCCACTAGATGAAGCTGAGGAGCATTGAAAACTCCTATACTCTTTGGCTTCACCTAATTGTGAGAATGCCGTGTCAATGGCATTCACCCAACATATGGCATTTATAAATCATCCTCTTATTTGTCTGACGAAAACAGGAACACGCACTTCATAATTTGTCTTCCAGACTGGAAGCAAGGGGAAGTCTGTCCAATGAGGAAAGGTCTTTAAAAATGTGACATTGTTTATTACACCTCAGCATTCTATGCAGGAAGAAAATAGGTTTGGATGGTGGTGGTGGTTTAATATAAGTCTTATTTATTTTGGTTTATGGAACTAAATAGCTCTATTTTATGGACACTGGTGGAAGAGCTTATGGATTGAATGCTTAATTTGCACTCTGCAAATTGAATTTTGTTTTTAATTTTAATTTTATTTTTTGACAAGTCACAGCAAGCTTTTTTTTTTTTGACCACAGAGCTTGTGGTCAAAAAAAAAAAATCAATAATATTTTTGTGATACTGCGATACTTTGACATCGTACACTGAGCATCAGAGTAATATAGCAGGTTGTTGTATAGGAGATATGATTGTCTTGGCTGGCTCAGGTGCCTCCACTCTGTTGACCAAAAATTAAGCAGTTTGCAGGGGAAAAAAAAAAACTTCTTTAAAACATGGAGGCTTGCTTTTGCTTTAAAGTGACACTAAACTTGAGTTAAATTTTAAAAATGCATTCAAGTACCTTGACTATTAACAAAAATGTATCGCTCAGCTGTATATCCTCTGGATTGGTGCTGACACAGTCCTTCCTTCTGGAGAAGGGCTACTTTTGTTCCCCATGGTCCCTGTGTGTTGTAAAGTAGCCACCGCTCCAAGCTCACTCCCGTGATAAATTATCTTGTGTACTAATCTGTCTCAAGATTGTAGTCCACAATGGTATGCATAAATAAGCTACATTTTTGTTAATGGGGTACTTGAATGTTATGGGATGTCCTTTGCATCAACGCACTAGAGAATTTTTTGATGACCGCAAAGCTTGAAGAATTAAGTTGTGGTTTTTTTTTGGTGTCCCCGTGAGAGAGACAGAGGCTCTTTAAGTTTGTGTTTTCTGGCAAGGGGAGGAGCCTCTCTCACCAGACTGTCCTGAGAGACTTTTTAGTGGCAAGTCTAACACCATTTTTCTACAATGGGACCTTATGATGTTGATGTATTGACCAGATTTTCTGTCCATTTTAGTATCCAGATGCTTTAAAAACAAATATTTCTGGGTGATCTCACTTTGCCCTATAAAAGCATTTGTACTGCCTGTTTTTGTGATTTCACATACCTCCACCATTCTGCATATCCTTTATTCTATCCTGATTGATATATTCCATTTACTTTTACTTGTGCCTTCTCTGAGCAGCTTTATGCAGATTCATTGCCATCTAGCAGGCTATAGACAAACAGGGTAATTCACAAAAAGGTAAAGCATTTAGAGAAGGCATGAGAAGTGAACAATCTAGGCCAAAATAGTTGATTTGGAAAAATGTCTCCATTTCACTTTCCATTTCAGCTATGTTGTCCTAGATTGTGACTTCTCCTGCCTTCTTCAAACGCTTCACTCTTTTATGTGAACTACGCTGAATGATTTGACACAAGGAGGTACAGCAGTGCAATGTGTCTGGGTATTTTTAAATGGTCTGAACAGAATTAAAAATGTTATATATTTAACTGCTTAGCTGTCTGGCATTCATCCTCACTTGCAACTCTGATGTCAATTCATTACAAATGAGGAAAAGGGGTTGTTTGCATTCTGCTAGGTGACTGTAGCTCATTGCTGCCACTCCAGACAAACTTTTTGGCCAAGTTGGGAACGGTAATAAGGTTTGCATCCTTGCTGTGTAGATTTTTCCCCTCACGTTTTTTGGCAATCTTACAGAAATCTTACTGAAGCAGTGGGGTGGAGGCGCACAGGAAGTGACATCGGGCATCACTCCCGAAAGTGACATCGGGCGGACTGGGTTGGAAGGTCGGACGGGAAGTGACGTCAGACGCGAACGAACTTCCGGTCCGGCCGCAGAAACGCGCTCAGCCACGCTACAAAACCGGAGCCAGATGAGGGGGCAGCTAACTGGCAGAAGCCTTGTGGCACACCAGCAAGAAGGGGAGCAGCTGGAGTGAGGACTGAGCATGCGGATCTTCCTTCCGGTCAGCGACCATACCCGCAGATCCTGCAACAATAGCTGCATCCACCGATCTGGGGGATACCTCTGCAGCCAGCTCCAAGGTAGGCGAGTGCATTGGCACTCTTACTACGTATCCTTGGTGGTGGGGTAAGGGTACCCCTGAGAAAAGCTGCACTTTCCTCCTCGGCTCAAGAGAAGATTTCCCTTTAACGAGGAGGACTGTGGAGTTTGGGGAAAAATGCCCCAAATTGGATGCCTCGCTCTCC